GGAAGTGTATCTAAACAATCAAATTTTCTTTTTTTCTTTTTATATTGACTTTTCTTTCATTAATCTCCAGTATATTGTGCACAATCTGACGAATTATTTCAAAAAAATGATCATATTATTGTTGAGTTTTTGTTTATAATATGTGAACTGCCAAATATGATCAAGTAATAATAAATATTGGCAGCAAAAACAAAGCGGTGTGTTAATTACAACCGATTATTGCTAATTTTACTCGATTTCAAATCGACTATTAATTGATTAAAAATCGAGTGTAAGTGAAGGTGAGTTAAAAAAGAAAGGAGATTCGCACTCCGCTAAGAATCCTCATTCACATCTACATTTTACTCTCAAGTGTAAGTATTTTAAAATTTCGTTCGACGTAAATCAAAAATGTGTTGCTTCTCGCTCGACATTACGAAGATTGATAGAATAAAATAATTATATTGGACGAGCGGCCCACTTTGATTATGCTTATTGGCAGACACTGTATGTCTTCTTTTGAATTTCTTCCTTGTGAACCAAAATGACAAAACTTGAAGACTTGCAGATCCATAATCTTATCAAATAATTCACCAAAGCTTCTCTGTAGTTCTTATTATAAATGAAAAATAGCAGGAAAATGATGAGCAATCAAGCGAATTTTGTAGCTTTTATGACTTTTATTTCAAAAACACGAACAAACTCATATTAAAGTCCTTTCTTTGCTTATTTATCTAAGATATACAAATAAACATAAAAGATTTACTCACTCACACATCAATGATCAACAAAAACTATATTAAATATTTTCATATTACTTATTTCATCCGATAATAGTTTAATAAGAATGTTGCTTGGAGATTTTTTTTCACCGAACAAAAATCGAATTATTTAACTTTTCGTTCATGAAAATTATTTTTCCTATGCAAAATTATTTTTTTAAGGAAAATAATTCTTTAGATTCATTTTAAAAAACTCTTGTTGCGTTGCATGCAAATAATTATCTATATACGAGAATTGTTTCAATTACTATGATTGTTTTCGAAGTCTTTTATTTAATATGTCTGTAAACCAGTATTTTATTCAGTGCGAATACTGAGATGGCAGCATTCCTCCGAAGATCAAATAAGTCCTTTTCAGAACTTATGTTTCTTGTTTCATATACAGCTTTTCTGCACTACTAATCATAGGTGCATGTCCTCCTGGAGTGTTGAATCTCCCCTACAGATGAGAAAATTTCAATGAAGCACTACTTTAAACATCTTGATTTTGTTCTTATCGGTAAAAAAATTTTCACTAAGTCGAATAAGAAAAACTTACCCACTGTATTTCATTTGAATTTTAAAGGAAGATTAAAAGAAAATATGAATGATTAATCGCAATCATTTTTAATGGGAACAATGAAAGAAAAAGAAAAGATGATGTGTACACATGTAAGAATGGTTTCTGATCATAATTAAAGACATCTTCTAAGAAACATTTGTTTTTGTCTTCTACGCTCACCGTTAAGAGATATATATTTTGACTCAACGACGGGTAACCATATGGGAGAGAAAGGAGAGACAGTTGACTATTGGACGATGATTGAACCGTTAATGGTAATAGAGTGTCATTTATTGATACTAACAATTATAAAATAGTACTTGCTGGTTGGGCTATATCCTGCCGCTATTCCGTACACTCATTTGTCTCCGATGGTTGCGTCATTGTATTTCTGTTAGTTGAACATGATCTCCCATTTTGCTTACGATCTACAAAACTTCATTTTAGAATTGATATCACTAAAATGGCAGCAGCGAGACCAACGTGGACAACGAACAGTCCATATATTTGACTCAAGTGAAGTTCATCACCAAAACCATTATTACTGTTCTTCTTATCACAGTATTTCTCTTGAAAATATTCTTTTAACAGCCGATCAATTTTGCCCTCCTCTTTCAATTTCATAATATGAGTATCAAAATCCTATTTATATTGCCATAGTTTGGGAGAGACAATTCCAAAATCTGTTTTACCAAATGAAAATCCGACTACTTCTAGTTGGCAGTATTGTTCCGTTTGTGTAAAATAGTCGACACTAGAACTATCAGCTATCGCAATATCAATATGATAATTTAACAATTTTGAATAACATTCTTTTTGATGTTTTAAACGATGATAATCCATATGATTTCCATTCATAAGGTGCTGCATGGCATATTCCTCGTGTTGTGAACGTTCAACAACATCAATACGATCACAGGATCATTTGCCGCACATTTTTAAGTCTTCTATACTTTGTATCCAAAGCAATTTCTGTTTTTCAATAAAATATATAGTCATACTAGATGTTAGAAGTGACACTAGATAAATGCTTGTCAATCAAGGGAGAATGGTTTGACCTCGACCACCAAATGATTTCACTCGCAATTCACTTCCCGTTTGTGCCATAGCACCGATTATGTGATAGCATGATTTCAAAAATGACCCTAATATCGACTGATGGCAAATATCAGATTTTTTTTTATCTGGTTGCGTCCTTCTCTCTACTTTTTCATATCCACAAATTCGTATAACTGACATGCCCAACATAATATCTATAATCAACCAGACGTTGCCATCAAGTGCTAAAACGAATACGTGCCAAGGAGCGAATACTTTTCCTGATTACTAGTCGTATATAATTATCGTAGATTGATACACTGAAATCAATTTTCTCCGAACGACTTGGAGTTTGAACTAGATCGGTCATAATAATTTCATAGGTACTATTTTCAACACATTCAACTAATTCATCATAACTGATATCATCTGGAGCCACGATCAAATTACTGCTGAATCCTGCCCGTTTTTCAAGTGATAATATTAACTTGTAAATGCAATCTGACTGCTTAATAGTTGATGCTGTACTAAATTCTTCTTTGGAATGTTATTATGATCGGACTTGTATTAATCAATTGCATCCTTTAGTAGTCAATATTGAGCCGGTCAAGATAAACGTTAACATAAATTTTATACCAAATTCGACTATTCAACAACCTCTAGATAATTTTATGGTTGATGAAATTTTTGTAGACATAGCCTTCGACAAATACTTTACTCAATGCGATCCAAACCATTGTTCATACATTCACTCTCGTCGATTCGATGTTAGTTTTGCCACCAATATTATCATTGGAGTTTATAGTGGACTATCCATCATCTTAAGTTTCATTGCTCCTCTAATTGCAAAACGTTTAATTCATTGGCAAAAAAAAAATAACCAAATTCAAATTTTGAATATTATGTCAAGATCAAATCAAGGTAAGATGTTATTCAGTCATAAACATTGATTTTAACTGAATCTCATTCTTTTTTTGAAACATTCTAACGAATGCCGAAAACATTTGAGAGTTTACAATCAAATTCTTTTGTATTTGATAAACTTGAAAGTTTCATACTAGTGCAACTTTGATACATTTAATTTCATTTGTTTTTTCTAGCGCAACCTCTGTTCGAACGATTACGTAATCTTGTTGATATATTGTGGCAATCGATCGTCTCTCTGAATCTTTTTAAAAGTCGAATTCCCAACCCTGAAATGATTTGTCGTCAACGAATTAGTACACGATTCTTTATTGTTCTTTTTACTGTAACTGTTGTTATTATTGGTTCGTATATTTTTCAATCGATTTAAACTCAAACTATTACGATTTGGAATCCTTCATTGAATACATACGAAGCATTGTACAAGAAATACTCGACAAAATCGGTATGCCCTTGTTCACAAATATCCGTTTCATATGGAGCGTTTTTCAATATAACATATACTCTTCATCAAATTTGTTCAAGTGATCTTGTATCTCCAACTTGGCTCGAATTTCTTCTTGCGTTTAATCAACTATATACGGTATATGATTCTGGTGATTTTTTCCAACGTGATTTTCGTTCGGTAGGTGCATCTTATTTTCAATTATTAGCCACTTTATATTCGATTGTGAAAGAGAATATCGATGAAGTTCTGCTTACTCTTGCTAAAACTTAATTTGTAAACGATCATGTGATTTCAAATTCATCGTTCATCCAACAAATGCAAAATTTAAATAATACCTATGCGAATTCCATTCGAAAAGAATTTTTAATTACAAAAGAATGGTTATATACAACAGCACAAGCTAATCAATTTTTAATCGCCCTTGAGATCAATGCACAGATTCTGATGAACAATAATGATTCTTCTATCATAATTGCCGATTCAAGTTTAGCTGAGTTTTCTTATCCGGACGATAATTCAATATCAGTCATCGGTGCATGTTCATGTCGTCGAGATGGATATCGTTATTCTATTGCATCCATTTTATACTATAACATGGTAAATGATTCTCAAATATGGAACTACTTTATTGGAATGGATGTGGGATGTGTTTCTCTATTTGGTTTACTTAAATCTAGAATTGATTGGTGGTATAAGTGTGTATGTCGAACAAATTCGAGATACATTTGCTGAAGGAATAAAATCGAAACTGTCTCCGAACATTCACTCACTCGATTCAAATAAACGCAGTCGATTTCGAAACAATGATGGAACGTATCAAAAATTCAATGTTTTAGTCGATGAAATGTTAATCGAATCATGGACAAGTGATGTTTCACATTTTGATTTATTCTATTCTCAATGTCAACCAAAATTGTGTTCGTATGTGATCGATGTGAGATATTCACGATTTGTTGCACTTCTTATTCTCAGTTTCATTTGCGGAGGTCTCAATCAAGGATTTCAATTATTGGGACCTATTTTGATTGCATCCATCTTTTTTTTAAGAGACCAATATCGCAATCAGGATGGAAATAATAGAGAGTTCATTGCCTTTTTTCCAAAAAAAAAAGTATTCGCTTTTCTATGAGAAAAATGATATAGGATGAATACTTCTCAAGATTGTAATAGTCATGTCAAATAGGATCTGAGACATAGTTTTTGAATAATTACCTTTCTTTTAGGGCTACCGATTCCGATGATTAATCGAGTGGAATGTTTTTTAGCTCGTGTCTATCAATCATTAATAATGATGAATTTATTCAAATCAACAAGAGAAAATGATATAAGTCAACATACTGAACGGATTTATACACGTGTCTATGTTATTCTAATGATAGCTTCTATTGTCATACTGCTCTTATGTACAAGTTTTAGTAAACGATCAAGAACTGAAACTGTACAAGCACCGATGAATTCCTTTGAATTTGAACAATTATATAGATTATATTCAGATGGTCTTAATTGTCGTTGCAGTCAACTTTCTATATCTTGCAGTAATTTTTTCTCTAAAATTGAAGTAGAATCTTTTCATCCAGTTTGTTCAAGTGATTTTGTTTCCTCTAAATGGCTTATTCATCTTGTTACGCAGTATGGGCCACCTGATTGGACTTCTAATCAAGATTTTCGTCAGTGGGGTGCAGCTTATTTTCGTACCCTTCAAACATTCTGTTCAATTGCCAATGCTACTGTAACTGAGATTCTAGAGAATTTTTTGTCATCAATTTTAGTCATCAATCGAATTATATCACAAGATGAATTCAATAGAGAAATGAATGCTACTCTCAATCATCTAAAAGCATCGATGCCTAATACATTCATGCAAGCTTTAACATTGATTCGAATTACAGGTCAATCCAATGGTTTCATGAATGTTTTCTCGTCTAATTGATATTTTTATTTGAGTGAAAATCAAAGTAGCACGGATATATTGGAAACTCGACCAGTTCCCTACAATAATTCGACTTGTGGATGTGGGGTGCGGGTGTGGGTGGGTGTAGGTGTGAGCGTGAATGTGTGGCTGTGGCTATGGGCGTGGCCGTGCTTGTGGTTCAGAACAAGACTAAGACCCACACCCACACCCATACCCACACCCATACCCACACCCACACCGTAGTTCTGAAGCGATCTTATACGACGAAATAGGGCAAAATGCGATCGCTTACGACGTTGTATATGACCATAGTAACGCTCGTCTTGGGATGAGAGAAAGAGATACACAAGTATCTTAGTTTTATTTAGAATAAACAAGATCAACTGCAATAAATAGAAATTCGTTTGTCTTTTCCGGTGGTTGCCAAAAACACATATCACATTGTCATGAGAATTGGTCAAAATTACACACGGGTTGTGATTAGTCTACTGATTCTATTGTTTGGATGAAGAGTGTCAGGAACAACATGTCGATTTCGTTTAAGAAGCCATTTTCGATAGATTTCAGGCATACCAATTAGGCAGACAAACGGTTGCAATAAACCAACAATATAAAATAAATGAAAAAAATAAACCTGCTGAATAGTCATGCTAAGAATGGTTGGACCATGAATCATATGATAACATTGAAGAGATCCGTACGTGAGATAACCAGACATGTATAGAATTGCTACAGGAACAAATTGTATAATGATTTTTCGATGTCGTCTCCATTCCATTGCACGCCTCATTCTGCTATGTTTTTGCCAAAGAATACGAATCCATAGTCCCAAATTTACAATAACTATGAATAAATATGGAATGAGCGAATTAGCAAATTGATCGAAAAGACTGAGTACAGGATTGTCGAAAGCAAAGCATAAACTACCACAGATTACTACATGGTAGTCAAAATTATTTTTACATGGATAAATAAAAGCACCGTATATATAAAATGAAATGAGATATCCAAAAATAAGAATAAGTGGTAGATAATGCACGAAGAAACGCTTCCATTTTGTGTTAAGCCATTTTCGATGATGAAAAATAAGAATATGCCGCTCGATTGATATCCACAGCATCAATACACAAATAAGTGCATAGAGAAGCATGTCGAAGAAAATCCACATGCGACAATAAGCATCATTGCTTGGACTAACAACGCCAGTGCGTAAGAAATCTAGAATCATAGAAAGATCAAAGACAACAGTGATTAAACCAACGAACAGGAGAACCAATGGGCCATGATTATGAAGTGCTTCTCTGGTGCCACGGTTGGATAAGATATAATAAATTGATGCCAAGTAACAAATGATCGAAGGAGGTTGAAGTGACATTAGAATACCAAACTTTATAAGACGACTCTCAACCGTTTCCATGGATTGAAACCAATCTTGTTTTTTCTAGAAACATATGGACATATATATACAGATGCATATAAGAGACCAAGATGACATAAAAAAAAAATTCTGTTTTATAACAAATTTTTTACTTTATGTATAATTTCCATATACCATAGCATCACTACTTTCTTTAGTCGTACTTCAACGAATCCACTTAGTGGCACTTACCAAATCATAGACAAATGAGCAAAAATATGGTCAAATATCGTAATATCCTTTTATATGACACTTGTATAAAAATACCTAAATTAAAAGTTACTTTTTGAATGTTTACTATCATTATTGATCAACTATAGACTGTTGGTTTTCTACGATTGCTTTTTGAGTCTTAAATAAGTTAAGGTGCGGGAAATGCAAAATTTGAGCATAACTTTTTTTTTTCAATGTTTTATATATGGTTGGATAGAGCTCGTCACACTGTATAAGAAAATGTATTATAAAAAAAATTTTCTTGCTTTATATAAAAAAAAAATCCAAATACTTTGATGATATCAGTCCATGTAAAAATCGACTACTTTTGAGAAATGATATTTAAATTTCTCTTTTTCTTGTTCTAATAATTCTAAGAATATTATTTTCTTTATCACTATGAAAAACTGAGTATAAAACATTAATTTAAATTAATGTTTTATACTCAGTTTTTCATA